TGTTGCAATATTGTAGCAACCCGTACCTAGGAGAAGTGTTGAAATCACGCTATTTTGTATGGAAAGCCATGACTGTCTTAAGTAGCAAACTAGATTATCGTGATGCTCATTGGCATGTTATGATGTCCATTAAATATAACATGATGCCCATTCATCATATTATGATGTCCATTTACCCTATTAAGATGCCCATTCACTATAATGTGATGTTCATTTACCATATTATTATGCCCATTCACTATATTATGATGCCCATTCACCATATTATGATGCCCATTCATCATATTATGATGCCCATTCACTATATTATGATGCCCATTCACCATATTATGATGTCTATTTACCATATTATGGTGTCTATTTACCATATTATGATGCCCATTCACTATATTGTGATGCTCATTTACTATATTGTGATGTCCATTCACTATATTGTGTTGTTCATTCACTATATTATGATGCCCATTCACCATATTATGATGTCTATTTACCATATTATGGTGTCTATTTACCATATTATGATGCCCATTCACTATATTGTGATGCTCATTTACTATATTGTGATGTCCATTCACTATATTGTGTTGTTCATTCACTATATTATGATGCCCATTCACCATATTATGATGCCTATTCACCATATTATGATGCCCATTCACTACATTATGATGCCTATTCACCATATTATGGTGCCTATTCACTATATTATGATGCCTATTCACTATATTATGATGTCCATTCATCAAATTGTGATGTATAATCACAATATTATGTCCATTAGCCATATTGTGATGTGAATTCATCACAATTTCTTAAAGTATACGCATATATAATCATGATGTACACTCACAATTTCATATCTTGATACCAATGATTTTCCCATAATGCATTGCTCTGCACAAAGACAGCCATATTGAAAGCAGGACTGTAAATTTGATCTGTTGAATAGTAGTGTAATCATGGAAAAGCAGCATAGTATGTCAACCATTTTGGGTCAACTAAATCTAGGTGATTTAACTCGTTTGTTTGAAGAAGAGGATGTAACTCCAGATATTGTGGGCTACTTATCCAGCTATGAACTAGATTGTTTTGGTGTACACAACCGTGCAGATCAAATGGCTCTACACACAGCAT